CTGAAGCAACCAAGCTTAGTGATATGAGAGGAAGAAGAGTAGGGGATTAAGGAAGCCAAAATTCTCAACCATTTTGTCACCCTACAACTAAGTAAGAAAACATTCTCAACCCTCTCATTTCTTTTTATTAGTGAAACTTTCAGATTACTTCATTGTGATTAAAATGACTACTCATAAATAGAAATTTTATATGTATGTGTAGGAAAACTGTGTTGAGAATAATCTGTTTTGAATCTGCCAGCATGTTTACCCGAATTTTTAGATAATTTTATACTCAAAATTTCGAGAAGATTTCTTCTACAAAGTTGTTGATAATGATGTCTAGTTTGTCCAGAAATGTTTGGAAATAATTTTTGAGCTTTCTACGAATTTATACAAATTTTAAACTAAATCTGAAATTGTGTTGAGAATAAATTGTTTTGAATCTGCCAGCCTGTTACCCGAATTTTTAGATAATTTTACACTCAAAATTTTGAGATGATTTCTTCCACAAAGTTGTTGATAATGATGTCTAGTTTATCCAAAAAAATTTGGAAACACTTTTTGAGCTTTCTACGAATTTATACAAATTTTTAACTAAATCTAAAACCGTGTTGAGAATACTCTGTTTTGAATCTGCCAGCATGTTTACCCGAATTTTTAGATAATTTTACACTCAAAATTTCGAGATCTGTGACGCCCCCAATTTTTTTTTTGAAACGTCATAAGATTTAAATAACGATAACTTGCTAGATAAAGTTTTAACTACTAATTAGGAACTTTTAAGTTCTTACATAGTCAAAGTCCAACAACAAAATAAAACTACAAGTTCACACACAACGTCACAACATAGTTAAATCCTAATACAAGGGATAACAGGATTTTATTTTGATAAAATCTTGACTCTAAGTCTGCCAAGGTTCGATATTGGCAGCAGCTCCAATTTCAGTCTCAGTCCCTTCTTCGATATAATCTGGCATGAAACGCCAGGACAACAAAATATATGCCATGAGTTTTGCAACACAGTAAGAAAACGTAACTAGCCTACCATTCTTTTTAAGAGAAAAATAATAATATTCTAAACATGAGATAACAATATAATTATACGCAGAAATTACAACCATTAGAATAATTTCAGTAATTTTAATAAATTAGGTGACACTCAAAATCTCACCAAGGAGATTTAACTTACCAACCACTAAGCATGGCAACGGTTAATTTGAAACCCTCCCTTGGTCAAATATTTAAGTGTTACCAGCCGTAACTACCAGGGATGCCCACATCTGGAGTTATATACCCAAGTAGTGGCATCTGTGGTCTGCCCCAAGGAAACGGTCTGCCAGGGGTAAGTAACCTCCCTGTGTGCCACCTGCACATCCACCCTTATTCCAAAACCGAATACCGAAAAGGGTTCAAATAAGTCCCGTGCCATCTTAGAGTTTCGCAACACAATTTACGTGAGAATTCTCAAAACCAGGGCTCACCCTGAACAACCGGTGTTAACCGTCAACTCTTAATCCCGTACAGTCTTTAAACCAAGACTCACCCCAAACAACTGGTATTAACCGTCAATTGTTAACTTTATATATGCCGTTAATCATTTCAGTTAATTTTGATATTAATCACAAATAATTCCAAAATTTTAATCACAAGTAATGTTATACCAACTCATTAAAATTCTCAATCATAAAATATTGCATGTGTCACACAATACTAAATAAAAGTACAGAATTTAAATAAACAATTTATTTAAATCATGGTATCAAATAATAACTTAGATACAAGAATTAAACCATAAATACACACATGCACAAATTTTTGATTTACAAAATTAGACTAGCATAATATTAAAGTGGTGATTTTATCCTATCTAAAAAAAATTTCACAGTATATATCTTGCAAATAAAATTATAAATACATTACTTATACAACTCTAAAATTCATATCAATCTACAGGATACTCTATAAACATGTTATGGTTATTTTTTAGAAAGTATTTTCCAAAAATAACTTATAAATAATTCTAAACAAATTCCAAGGGTGTTTATGACACCGATTTGTCACATTTCCTTACATTAATTCCATGTTAAATTTATAGATCAAACCCATAATCTAAAAATTTATCATGAAACTAGACTTCTCAAATTTCATATTTTAGTTAGAAATTACCAGATTTGGCTTAGTATAGAATTTTAAATAAATTTTCAAATATATGGTAAAATTTGTCTCACAGTTTCAGATTTAGTTAGAAATTTGTATAAATTCATAGAAAACTCAACAATTGTTACCAAAATTCCTGGACGAACTAGACATCATTATAAACAACTTTGTAGAAGAAATCATCTCGAAATTTTGAGTATAAAATTGTCTAAAAATTTGAGTGACATTCTGGCAGATTCAAAATAGACTATTTTCATCACAGTTTCAGATTTAGTTCAGATTTAGTTAAAATTTTGTATAAATTCGTAGAAAGCTCAAAAATTGTTACCAAATTTTTTTGGATAAACTAGACATCATTATCAACAACTTTGTAGAAGAAATCATCTCAAAATTTTGAGTATAAAATTATCTAAAAATTCGGGTAACATGCTGGTAGATTCAAAACAGATTATCCTCAATACAGTTTAGACAATGTATCATATGTATACAATCTGAAAATTTCAATTATGTAAAAAAAAATGAGAGGATTGAGAGGGTCTTCTTACATAGTAGTAGGATTGAAATGGGTGATGAAATGATAGAAGAATTTGCTTCCTAAACCTTTTCTCTACTTCTCCTTCTGTTGAATTCTTCTTCCTTATTTCTTCCTCACCCGTCGTCAAATCCTTCTGCTGAATTCTTCTTCCCTATTTCTTCCTCACCCGTCAAAAGGAATACATGCATGCAAACACGTATGCATGACTATTATGTGCATTATATAGACCTCCGAGGCTAGCTCTCTCTCTCTCTCTCTCTCAGCCATTACCTTTCTCCAAGTTCTAAGAATAAGCTCATAATGACCCCATTGCTTCAATGTGAAGCCCTCTGCTCGAGAAAACATTCGCATACTTGCTAAGGATTAGTCTTGTTGACATTCCTGTAGGCTGCTAGTGTCATTCGTCAATTTGTTGTGGTCAGAAAGCCAGTCTATCCTCCTTAAACAATTACAGCATTCCATCAAATCCATGAGTCATTTCCTTCTTTTGGTGGCCACTGATTACGGCTTTGTGTATGGACAATCAATCTGTGTCCCAGATGATGTCGATGTCGAATATATTCATGTCTCGAGGTTCGAGAATTCAAGTACACAAACAATTCGAAAGGGTTTGCATACCAATTCTAGTGATCTAACACACACTACAAATGTGAAGGAATACGATGAAAAACATATAACCAAGAGTTTTAAGACTGGTTTGATAGAAATTTTCGTTGTGTAGGTTTTGATTACAAACGAGTCACACCAAAAGAGTTTTAACCGGTAACTCTAAGCCCAAGGTTGGTACAGAAGTAATAAGGATAACATAATACAAAATGGCTATAACAACAATATCGATTAACATAAGGATCGGATGAATGACATTATAGTTTTGGATTTTCATGTAATCAAGATCATGGAGGAAGTGACTAAACTAGATATCTAACCTAAGACTACGTTGGCCCTACGTGTCGAAATAAATATCCAAGATTTGTTATTGAGTAAAGAAATTGCGACTGTTTAACTCTAACGAGGAAAATTCGGTGGAAAACTATGACATAGAATCTGACCCAAGTGAAGAAGTGGAGATGCCTATAGAAGACTATGAATCCATAGAATCCGACCCAAGTGAAGAAGTGGAAATGCCTATGGAAGACTATGAATCTGAGCCTGAGCTTGACCCTGAACCTGATCCTGAACTTGAGCCTGAACCTGAGTCTGAAGAAGTTGAAGAAGTTGTACCAATATACAACCCCTCGGAGGTTATTGTGATTGAGTTAGACATTGAGGATGAGTCTATGGAAGGCAATACCGAGGGGAACCCTGGAGATATAGGAGCCACGTTTGAGGGTTGGGATGTGCAAAACGGGTTGCAGATTGGCTCTTTTGTATATGTCAGACTTTATCCCCTCGGAGGTTGTGCTTGGAAAAATGAGAGTTGGGTGGGCACCTATATCGGACCTATCCAGATTCTAAGACAAGAGACTCCCTGGGTATAACTAGGCCCCTTTCCGAACGGTTTCACTGAAAGAGTGGGCGACCTTTTTGACTTTTGGAGCCTTCAGTATATCATGCCCGACCCAAACAGAATTGTGAGGAGAGATGGGTTAGTGGACTTCAGGGACTGGAGGATCTATCGGGAGGAGCCGGTGATGCTACTAGGGCATCGTGTGTGCGAAACTGCTATCTTCGTAAGGGTGCTGTGGCGATTCATGGGACTTTTCCAAGCCACATGGGAGCCGGAAGCCCTGGTGTGGAGAGACTTTCCTTGGCTATTTTAAGGGGTCTTAAGGGAACTATAAGCTAGGCTAATTGATTGTTTTGTATGCTCACATGTAAAAATTGCCTAGTTTAGAATTGTGAGTGTAGAAGTCAACTCGAATTGTAGGGACTATCTCTTGCCCGTAGTATGTTATTTAATCTTTTCATTTATTTTATTTGTATTTTGCTAATTATAGCTTATCTAATCTAATTAATGAAGTCTTTTTTTTAACTATCCTTGCACATAAGTATAATAATAATAATGATAATAAATAAATGAATAAATCACAAGAAAATCCCATCATGCAGAATGGCTGGACGAACAAGAAATAATAACAACAGTAATGGTGATGGAGTGCCTGATGGCGATGTTGCTCGAATTATACGCGCGATTGCTGATAGGGTAGGCAATATACCACCCCGAAACCAAGATCAAAACAAATCGGAGATGATAGCAAAATTTGAAAAGCTACGTCCCCACAAATTCCTTGGTGGATCAAACCCCCATGAAACTGAAGCTTGGTTAAGACAAATTAAGAAGATGCTAGATACTTCCGATATCTGAAATGAACAAGATAGAGTGACCATGGCGTCATTTCAAATGGAAGGGGAAGCAGATCATTGGTGGGAAATGATCAAAAGTACTCGACATGTAGAGACATTAACTTGGAGACAGTTCGAAGACCTGTTCATGGAAAAGTATTTTCCTAACTTGCTAAGACAAGAAATGATTCAAGAGTTCCTTCAACTGAAACAAGGAAAAATGTCATTCACTCAATATGCGAACCGTTTTGAAGCTCTTTCACGGTACGCTTCAGCCATAGTAGCAAATGAAGAGGATAAGGTTAGGCGATTTGAATGGGGCTTGGACACAGACATTAGAGGAAGATTGATCGCAGTGCAACTCTCCACTTATGCCCAGATGGTGGATCGAGCTTTAATTGTGGAACGAGAGTTAGCAGATTCTGAACGCATTCGAAATCAGCGATCAAGGAACAACAACCAACCACGCGGAGGAGGCCCAGTCCGCAACACCAGAAACCATCTTATGCCAGCACTCTATGCCGGAGGAATACAACAGCAACAAAGGCAGAATCGAGGAAACCAGCAAGGAGGAAACTTTGTAAATGAGTGGAAAGGAAGATGTTTCAGATGTGGTCAACAGGGGCATCGTCGAAGTGAGTGTCCTCAAGGTGGGGAGTATTTTATGGATTAGCGAGGGGCACAACGATACAACAGATGCCAACCTGGGCAAGGTTCTAAGCCTACTCAAAATACTCAGACCAACAAGGGGCAGCCACAAGCCTCTAGGAATGCAGGCCGACCAAGAACACAACCACAAGGAGCTGGAAATGGGAAGAAACCAGGAGAGGCTAACCAACAAGCAGTAGGGAGAATGTATGCTCTCCAAGAAGAAGAAGATGTTGATAACCCATCAGTGATTCAAGGTATGTTAATCCTTATGAATTCCTGGGTTAAAGTATTGTTTGATTCTGGAGCTTCGCATTCTTTTATATCCACTGCATGTGTGACAAGTTTGGGTTTAGAACCAGAAGCGTTAGAGATAGCTATGAGTGTCGCTTCACCCTTAGGAGGTCAAACCCGAGTAAATCTAGTATGTAAATCTTGTGAGCTAGAAATCTCCGGTTCATTTCTGATCTGTGATCTAAGAGTTATGGATATGTCTGATTTTGATGTCATCCTAGGAATGGATTGGTTGTCAGTTCATCGAGCCATTATTGATTGTTATTGTAAGACAGTGACAGTATCCCCCCTTAACGGCACGAAAGTTCAATTTAAAGGAGATAGACAAGATTCTCTAACTCAAACGTGTCGCAAGTCGCGATGGCATGATCAACTAAATGGATGGTTGGCAAGCCTAATTTTGGAAGACGAAATCGAGAGGATCCAGGATTACCCCATGTGGTGTGCGAGTACGCTGACGTTTTCCCTGACAAATTGCCGGGATTACCCCCAAAACGAGACGTAGATTTCACGATTGAGCTTCAACCTGGGACTACGCCGATTTCAATAACACCACATCGTATGGCGCCAGCTGAACTTCGAGAATTGAAGGAACAGTTGCAAGAACTGTTGAATAAAAAGTTCATCAGACCAAGCACGTCCCCTTGAGGAGCGCCAGCATTATTTGCGAAGAAGAATGACGGAACCTTAAGATTGTGCATCGATTATCGACAACTAAATCGAGCCACCATTAAAAATCGATATCCCTTACCCAGAATTGATGACTTGTTCGATCAATTAAGTGGCTCAAAATGTTTTTCCAAAATTGACCTTAGGTCGGGATATCACCAACTTCGTGTCAGAGGAGAAGATATACCCAAAACTGCGTTTCGAACCCGTTATGGCCACTATGAGTTTGTGGTAATGCCATTTGGTTTGACGAATGCGCATGGGGTATTCATGAGTTTAATGAACAAAATTTTTACCCCCTATTTGGACCAATTTGTGGTAGTATTCATTGACGATATTTTGATATATTCACAATCAGAGGAAGACCACGAGCAACATCTGAGAAAACCAATTGTATGCTAAAGCTAGCAAATATGAATTTTGGCTAAAGGAAGTAAAGTTCTTAGGTCATGTTGTGTCTGAATCAGGGATATCAATGGATCCTGCTAAAGTAGAAGCAGTAATGGGGTGGAAACAACCTAAGAATATGTTTGAGATTCGTAGTTTCTTGGGATTAGCAGGTTATTATAGGAGATTCATTCAGGATTTCTCCAAATTAGCCAAGCCGATGACACGCCTAAGATAGAACATTAACTTTAAAAATGAAAAAACTGATAATGTTCTCAGTTTTAAAATTGAAAAAAGCTGTTAATGTTCTTGGTTTTGTTGGATAGTTGAATCAAACCAATAAGTAGAAAAACATTTAATCTCAAGTTCTTTTTTTTTATTAGTTAGTAAAATAATTATCTGAAACATTACTAGCCTCTAAGGAAGGGTTAGGTAGTGTGTTAATGCAAAACGGGAAGGTAGTGGCTTACGGATCAAGACAATTGAAGAATCATGAGAAAAATTATCCTACTCACGATCTGGAGTTGGCAGCTGTGGTCTATGCACTTAAGACTTGGCGACATTACCTTTATGGCGAAAAATTTGAGATATTTACCGATCACAAAAGCTTGAAGTACTTGTTCACACAAAGAGATTTGAACATGAGGCAGAGACGCTGGATGGAGTACCTTGAAGATTACCAATTTACCTTGTCTTATCATCCCGGAAAGGCTAATGTTGTAGCATATGCACTAAGTCGAAAGACAAGGGAGATTGTAGCCAACATATCAATTAAAGAATGGGAAATGGTAAGCACTGTGAATGGGTTTAAGTTACAACCAGAGACTCAGAATGGGAAGGGTAGGTTTTTTACAATAGTTACAACACCCCAACGCCTTACCAAAGTGTTGGAAGCCCAAAGATTTGATTAGGAGATTGACTCCATCAAGGCCCGAGTAGTGTCCGTAGAATCTTCACCGGGTTGGGCGCTCCATCAAGATGGTAGTCTAAGGTATTTAGGTAGAATTTTTGTGCCAAACATCAAACAATTAAGAGACGAAATACTTAAAGAATTTCACCATTCAATTTTTGCGGTCCATCCGGGAGGAAACAAGATGTACCAGGATCTTAAGCGACAGTATTGGTGGAGTGGAATGAGGAAGGACGTTGCTCAATTCGTATCTAAATGCTTGACATGTCAACAAGTGAAGGCAGAACATCAAAGGCCGGCAGGGAAACTCCAACCTTTACCAATACCTAAGTGGAAATGGGAACACATAACAATGGATTTTGTAACGGGATTACCCCGGTCGCCGCAAGGCCATGATGCCATTTGGGTGGTGGTTGATCGATTAACTAAGACGGCACATTTCCTACCAATAGGACCAGCAGGCACACTCGAATCTTTAAGCCGATTATTTATTCGAGAAATCATTAGATTGCATGGAGTACCAGTCTCAATAGTGTCAGATCGTGATTCTCGTTTTACGTCACAGTTCTGGCAAAGTCTGCAAAAGGCCTTGGGTACAGAGTTGTGTTTTAGTACAACTTTTCACCCTCAAACTGATGGTCAATCAGAAAGAACAATTCAGACTTTAGAAGACATGCTTCGAGCTTGTGTGATGGACTTTAAAGGTAGTTGGGAGAAATATTTACCACTAGTCGAATTCTCTTACAATAACAATTTTCAAGCAAGTATTGGTATGACATTGTATGAAGCTTTGTACGGACGGCCTTGCCGATCACCAATATGTTGGACAGAAGTCGGAGAAGCACCTCTTTTAGGGCTTAGTTCAAGAAACTACCGAGAAGGTGAAACTAATTAGGCAAAGGCTTGAGACCGCTCAGAGTAGGTAGAAAAGCTATGCAGATCAAAGGAGAAGACCTTTAGCATTTAAAGTTGGAGATCATGTGTTTCTGAAAATACAGCCTCACCGAGGAGTTGTCTGTTTCGGAAAGAAGGGAAAGTTGTCACCTCGCTTCATAGGGCCTTTCGAAATTTTAGACAAAATAGGAGAAGTGGCGTACCGTTTGGCTCTACCGCCTCAACTGGCTGGAGTACATAATGTTTTCCACGTCTCTATGCTACGGAAATAAGAGCCACACTATTCTCACATCATCAATTGTGAAGAAATTAACCTTGATGAAGACGTGACATTTGAAGAAAAGCCTGTCAAGATTTTAGATCATCGCGAGAAGAAATTACGAGGCAAAACTATACCATTGGTTCGAGTTCTCTGGAGACATCGTGGGACGGAAGAGTCAACGTGGGAGCGAGAAGATGTGATACGTATCAATTACCCTCAACTATTCGAGTCTAAAGGTACGAATTAATTTCGAGGACGAAATTTTCTTTTAGGAGGGTAGATTGTGAAAACCCATCTTTTAATTATTCTTTAAAGAAAATTTATTAATTAATTTTGTCTACAGTCTATCTGAATTATACATTAGTGTAAAAGTTAATTTTAAATTGACTCAATTCAATCACTAACAAGACATTATTAAGAATAATAATTTTGTGGGTGTTCAATATTTGTTGTTTATAAATTATTTTAATTATGATTCAATATAATAACTATTCTTACTAAATACCTTAGTTAAAAATCTTAGTGTGTCAATTTTCAGAAACCCACACAAAAAAAAAAAAAAAATAATAATAATAATAATACAAACAAACAAACCATGGGCAAACAACCCATAGTTCCTACCAAACCCACCATCTCTTAGAAATTAGGAAACCATAAAATTTAGGGAAAGCTCATTCTTAGAACTTGGAGAAAGGGAATGGAATGTTTTTGAGGAAATAAAATAATGGAAAGAATAAGAGGGAGAGAGAGATGTCTTCAATTTATATATGTGCATGCAAGCCTTCCTTGTGCATGCAAGCATCCGGTGAAAGAAAAAAAAAAAAAGAAGAAAAAAGAAGAGAGAAAT